TTTCCTCCCTCACTCTCCATGCTCTCATTTTATAATACCGTCTTGCTGTCACTCTGAGGACAAATGGGAGGAACAGGAAGCCTAAAAAGCTTAAAGAAATGACACATTTCAACCAAGAGTTGAGAAAATGCTGGCCACATTCTGCCTGTGAAGCATGGAACACAGACTCCCAGTTACTTGAAACCACTTCATCACTCTTGGGCTGACAGTCAAATGCCAACTTTATTTTCTTTTTTATCAAGCTAATCTTTCATTTTTGATCTGAGGCTGGTCGTTTTTAACATCTCCACAATGGTTTATAACTTTCTTTCTTAAGAAACATTCAAGAAGTAACACAATTTGAAAATGTGTCTTAGCCACTCACCGTAAAGAGCAGGAAACTCTCACCTTCCCTGGAGGTGGATTTGGTCAGATATCTTGGTCAGACCACACTAATGTGCTGGGAATAAAGTCCAGGAAAGTGTGGGAAAAGCTTACCAGAAATTTAGCTTTCAAATATAATGATTCAGTGTGGAATTTTAAAAATAAACATAATGCCAACCCCATTTTTATACAGTGAAGTATTAAGAAAGTGTCATTTGGAGTTCATTCAACTTATTTCAATACTAGATGATACACATTCAAAATTAAAGGCTTAACATATACTTGTATTCAGAGGTTTAGACTGTAAATACTCCTGTATGTTTTAAATGTTCTTTTTACTTTCAAACATACATTCAGTGTATATATGAGCAAGTATATTTACCTCTGTTGTATTTGGTACAGAGACCAAATATTCTTGATTATTCATGAGAAATTGAAACTTCCCAGTTTTTAAATTAAATACATTGTCTTCTTAACATCTTGTTTTATTTATTTCAAAGGGAGCATATGCTTCTTATAGCAGTGATTCCCAAACCTTACAAGAGAGAATCACTTGCAGATGATTATCTTGTATGTACACACGTGTGTGCACTCATATGTAGTGTGTGTTAAACACAAAAGCCTGGACTTCATACCTACTGACTCAAAATCCTCCTACATACGAATCAATGTTCGGTGCTCTTAATGGTGGTTCTGATGATAAGCCAGCCTTGGTAACCACTGTCCTGACCACATGAAGAAATATTGGTAGGGGAATGTAAGGTTTTTGTTCTGTTTTGCTTATTTTAAAATTTTCTGCCTAATGAAGACCCATGCTTTTAAAAATACAAAGTTATTTATCATACAAATTATACACTCAAAATATAAGGCACAATGAAGAAGAATGAAATCTCATCGTTCGCAAGTAAACTGGAGAACATCATTCTGAGGGAGGTCAGCCAGGCTCAGAAGACCAAAAATTGCATGTTCTCCGTCATATGCAGACTTTAGATCTAGGGCAAATACAGCAATGTGGTTGGACTTGGGTCACATGACAAGGAGAGAGCACACACCGGAAGTATGGGGATAAGTAAGAAACCAAAACACATGATAGTATTTGAGGCCCTCACTGAAGAGGAACTAATACAGAGACTTTAAAGAAACAGAGGTCAATATGAAAAGGGATCAGGAACTAGAGAAAAGGTCAGTTAGAGATGAATCAACTTAGAATGTAACACATTTATACATGGAAGCAATGCTAGCAATCTCCCTGTATAGCTATCCTTATCTCAACTAGCAAAAACGCTTTGTCTTTCTTATTATAGTTTATATTCTCTCTTCAACAAAATTAGAGATAAGGGCAAAACAGGTTCTGCCTGAAAGTGAGGGGAGTGGGGGAGAGAGGGAGGTGACAGTGGGGTAAGGGGGAGAAATGGCCCAAACAATGTATGCACATATGAATAAACATGAAAGATAAATAAATAAATAAATAAATAAAATAAAGTAACGGAAATATTTTTTAAAAAACAAAATATAAGGCACAAATTTTATTTATCAGACTCAATAGACATAAATTACTTTTCTTCAAATTACTAAATTTCAAAATAGCAAATTTATGTGATTATCTCTTTGTAGGCCAATCACCAAAAGTTTGTGAGCTAACACAGGCCAGTGGTATACCCATGGGACAGCACCTCTTGATGCTTCTATTATCTCAGCCTGGATGACTTCCTGACCATGCTGCCTGTTCCCAGCCACTCCCATCCACCACGCAGTCACCCCAGGGCAGTTAGGAGGACCTTGTCAGAAAATTGATATACTCCCATCACCACCCTTCTCAGCCCTCTAACCTAATCCACAGGAAGAGAGAAAAAAAATGGTGGCCACTAGGAGTAGGGGATAGAAGGAGAAGGAAACAAGGAGATTCAGCTCAAAGGACACAAGTTTGCTGCCTTGCAGGGTGAATGAGACTAGGGAACTAATGTACAACAAGGGATTACAGTGTAGCTCCTTGTAGTGTATTGCAGTTTGTATTTTTACTAAACAGATAGATTTTAGGCGATCTTGTTACAAAAAAGGGGGAGTGACTGTTTGACATAATACATATGCTAATTTTCTTGATGGCAGTAACTATTTCACCTTGCATATCAAAGCATCATACTTTACTCATTTTGTCAATCAAAATTCAAACTTCTTAACCTGTCTCCTCTGATCTCATTGCAATCCACCTGCCACTCATTGGTCTCCTTTCTACTCACCCTTCACACATGCTGAGTCCATTCTTGTCAAAGAACTCCGGCTGTGGCTTGTCCCCCTCCCAAACAGTCCCCTCCCTCTGCTCAGACCTGCTCATTCAGATCTTATTTGAAATATAACTTAACTTCAAATAATAACTTCCCTGCACACAACAAACACAAGGTACACACTTACATGCAACACATACACACATGCATGTAGGCACACACACAGACACACACACACACACACACACTTTTTTTTTTCGTTTTTTTTTATTCATATGTGCATACGTTTGGGTCATTTCTTCCCCCATCCCCCTGTCCCCTCCTTTTCCCCACGCTCCCTCCTTCTTCCCCCATACCCCCTCGCTTCCACGCAGAACTGTTTTGTCCTTATCTCTAATTTTGTTGAAGAGAGAGTATAAGCAATAATAGAAAGGACCAAGGGTTTTTGCTAGTTGAGATAAAGATAGCTATACAGGGAGATTCCTCGCATTGCTTTCCTGTACATATGTGTTACATTCTAAGTTGATTTCTTCTCAAACTAACCTTTTCTCTAGTTCCTGGTCCCCTTCTCATATTGGCCTCTGTCACTTTAAAGTTTCTGCATTAGTTCTTTGCATTGAGGACATCAAATGCTATTATGTTTTTTTGGATTTCTTATCTATCCTCATACCTCCCTTGTGTGCTCTCGCTTTATCATGTGACCAAAGTCCAATCCCCTTGTTATATTTGCCCTTGATCTAATGTCCACATATGAGGGAGAACATATGAATTTTGGTGTTCTGAGCCTGGCTAACCTCGCTCAGAATGATGTTTTCCAATTCCATCCATTTACCAGCGAATGATAACATTTCATTCTTCTTCATGGCTGCATAAAATTCCATTGTGTATAAATACCACATTTTCTTAATCCATTCATCAGTAGTGGGGCATCTTGGCTGTTTCCATAACTTGGCTATTGTGAATAGTGCCGCAATAAACATGGGTGTGTGGGTGCCTCTGGAGTAACCCATGTCACAGTCTTTTGGGTATATCCCCAAGAGTGGGATTGCTGGATCAAATGGTAGATCAATGTTTAGATTTTTAAGAAACCTCCAAATTTTTTTCCAGAGTGGTTGCATCAGCTTGCATTCCCACCAGCAGTGTAAGAGGGTTCCTTTTTCCCCGCATCCTCACCAACACCTGTTGTTGGTGGTGTTGCTGATGATGGCTATTCTAACAGGGGTGAGGTGGACTCTTAGTGTGGTTTTGATTTGCATTTCCTTTATGGCTAGAGATGGTGAGCATTTTTTCATGTGTTTTTTGGCCATTTGAATTTCTTCTTTTGAGAAAGTTCTATTTTGTTCACTTGCCCATTTCTTTATTAGTTCATTAATTTTGGAAGAGTTTAGTTTTTTGAGTTCCCTGTACATTCTGGTTGTCAGTCCTTTGATGTATAGCTGGCAAATATTTTCTCCCACTCTGTGGGTGATCTCTTCAGTTTAGAGACCATTTCTTTTGTTGAGCAGAAGCTTTTTAGTTTTATGAAGTCTCACTTATCTAGGCTATCTCTTAGTTGCTGGGGTTCTATTGAGGAAGTTCTTGCCTATACCTATTACTTCCAAAGTGTTTCCTACTCTTTCCTGTAGCAACTTTAGAGTTTCAGGTCTGATATTAAGGTCCTTGATCCATTTTGAGTTAATACTAGTACAGGGTAATAAACATGGATCTAGTTTCAGTTTTTTGCAGACTGCTTATGAGTTTTCCCAAAGATTTTGTTTAAGAGGCTGTCTTTTCTCCATCATATATTTTTAGCAACTTTGTCAAAAATAAGTTGGGTATAGTTGTGTGACACACACACTTTCAAGTGGGGCTACCTCTTTAGCCCCAAACACTTTTAAAATTTTCTTTGTCCTCATCATTTGATTATGCACATCTTTCTACTTGAACGTAGTTTTGATTAAAACAGGGATGCTGCCTTTTTCACTCTTATAGTTTCCATGCTTACAAAGATGCTGATAGACAGGGGATGGGCAACACATTTGCTGAGAAGGAAGAATGCTAAATTTAGCACTTAGCCTGCAACAGGTGCTTGAGTAATGCCAGTTTGCATTTTACCTCCCTCTTACTTTCTCTGGTATGGCTGAGAAACTGTAAAATTCTTTCAAAACTCAAATTCTGATTTCTTTCAGTCCCCTCTCCACAGCACTGGTCTTCCACATGTGTGAACTTTTCTGTGAGTTGATGTTGCCATTTTTAGTCAGGGATAGGCAGGAAATGAATGACAAGCCATTCTGTGAAGCCCTGTTGTCAATATCCTACCTAAGTGGGGTATTAATATCAAGACTTTGTTTTTCCTAAATGATTTTGTATTTTATGATCATCAGATGCCTCCATAATCAAAGGAAACCCCTTCTAGGAATAAAATGTTAGTAGTTCTCAGAGGATCGCCTGCTTGGGATTAGCTGCTTTACACTCTTTGGCCATGCATTTTGCAAAGTTGGCTGCAAACACAAACTTACAGATAAGTATAAAAAATTAACAGCTCGCTTTTCCCCTGCATCACAGCATCACACAGATAGCAAAACCCACTGGCACAATGCTCCACTCACTGATCCACATGGATGGTTTTTGCTCCTGATGCCAGAGTACTTGACAAAGTGCTGGAAACTGTGGATGTATGATTGAGCAGGTATTTTCATGTGAACGTACATGTGCAAATAAAATCTGTCATGTTCCAAATTAAAAATAAACCTCAAAGGCCATAGACTCCAAAATGCGTGGGAGAATTGTTAACACAATAAGGACACGAGAGTGTGTCAAGCATGATGACATGAAATTTGGTTCAAGCGGTCCCCATGCTTTTGCTGGTTTATGGAAGATCATTATAATACATAAATAGATATTAATTCTCCTAAGGTTAAATCTGTATTTTTCTCATTGTGAGCAGGAACTAGAAAATAGCTAAGAGAGAATGGTTTTAAAAAGAAAAAGGTCTTCAGTTAGGGAGGGAGGAACTTGCTCATACTTTCAAAGTCAAAGGGAAACACTGTAGTCCTGTGAGTACCAGAAATCACCATTTACTGTGTGCTATCTCCTTCTTAGCCAGAGGAAATGGATTGTGTTTTTGGTGTAGTAAACAGGAGATTCCACTGTGGGAATCCTTGCAACCAGCACCTATAACAACCTCATTTAAAATTTTATAAAGCTTTGAACATGAAGAATTTAGACAGTCAGTTATTACACCTTCATATATCCACTCGGCCATTCATAAACATGTGCCTGCTTGTCCACAAATGGAGGGTGAATTTTATGCAACATTTTATTAACCTCCAGAGTTTTACCACTGAATGATGTTCACAAGCAAGGCAGAGAGCTTGAAAAATCAAATAGAGCAGTACTGCAACCACTGACAGGAGCACATTTTTCACCTGGACAATGCATTATGCCACATGGTAAGCGACCACTGCAAAGTTCATCAAAATGATTCTTTCAGGATTTAAAAATGGAGCATTTGATTGACATTGTAGAATCCTCTTTGCAGCAGATATTTTCAATGCTATGCCTGATAAACCTCAGGAAAGAATACATTTAACCTGTGGTTAAGGAAAACCAAAGGGCTAGAGAGTTACTGTACCCTGAAGCACATCCCAGCCCACGGTGAGCAGGGATACAATGTATGAATAATTCCCCAGGGCTCTGTTGTGATCACTTGGTTCATGGTCTCCTAGAGTTCCATCAGAGCTGGACTCAAGCATCCACCGTGGTAACCTTGAAAACCCATCCTTCACAGACTTTATTTCTTTCCCAGTCTCACTTCCCTGTTGGTGTTTTCTGGGATCCGCCCACACACAAGCTACTTGGATTCTAAGCTTTGTATCAGCGTGTGCCTCTGGGTTGACCCAAACTAAAATGGAACTTCTGTCCTTTTTCTTTTCTATTACAAAGATGTGCAATTGTCATTAAACACTGTGGGACACATTTCCCTCACTATTAATTCCTAAAAATGTGAGCCTTACCAAAAAACCTCACAATTACTTGTGGACTTATTTTAAAATATGAAGATGGTTTCCCATAGCATAAACATCTGTGATAATTCTCAAAACCAATAGAAAATCTTACCATAGAAAACAGTCTGAGTAATCAAAGGGTAAATGGAATTGCAGTTGCTTAACCTTTTCATTTTTTCTCACTATATATTGGTCTGTGAATTTCATTCCTCTGTGCAAAAACGTATTTGCTGGTTATATTCAACAAATGTAACCAACATATCAAGGTGAATATTACTCAGCATGTCTGTGCACTCGGCATGACTTTAAAACCTATGCTGCAGATACCTTAAAGCAACTGAGGCCAATAGGAAAAGGGGAACAGGTACTAGAGAAAAGGTTAGATCAAAAAGAATTAACCTAGAAGGTAACACCCACGCACAGGAAATCAATGTTAGTCAATGCCCTGTATAGCTATCCTTATCTCAACCAGCAAAAACCCTTGTTCCTTCCTATTATTGCTTATACTCTCTCTACAACAAAATTAGAGATAAGGGCAAAATAGTTTCTGCGGGGTATTGAGGGGGTGGGGGGAAAAGGGAGGGGGCAGAGTGGGTGGTAAGGGAGGGGGTGGGGGCAGGGGGGAGAAATGAACCAAGCCTTGTATGCACATATGAATAATAAAAGAAAAATGAAAAATAAATAAATAAATAAATAAAATAAAACCTATGCTGCAGTCCCCACAGATCGTTACTCTATTGCAGAGATACATTTTCAACATGTGAAAAATTGTAAGATGAATACAAAATGTCTGACTGCCCAAATGTAAATTTTATGGTAATTAAAGGAATTATATGTAGAGCAAGTTCTGAATGCCAAATTCTACATTGCAGCAAGTAATTGAAGAATTTTTCTTCAAGTGGAAGAAAAATAGAAATAAAGTTACCTAAACCAGACCTGGTGGTATACGCTTGCAATTCTAGCACTCAGGAGCTGAAGCAGGTGGATTGTGAGTTCGAGGCCAGCCTGGGCTGCAAAATGAAAGCCTGTCTCAAAACAAAATACCTATAATTGTCTGCATTTCAGGCTTCCATATTAGAGAGAAATCCCTAAACTAATGATCTGAAAGCCTTAATTCTTTCTTCATGTTCTTGAATAGTTTAGGACAAACTTCATTAATATTCTTCTTGATTATCTATAATCCAGTCATTTGCAATTTATTGAACATTATCCTAAATCTACGTCAAAGAGCTGGACAAAATTCTAGCCATCACCAAGTTTGCGTTCTAAAGGGACAAACAGTAAATCAAGAACGGGCAGAGGAAGTAGTACAAAGGCACTGTGGTAGCTTTTCACATTAAGGAAAGATGAGAAGAATGTGATAAGTTAAAATAAGAGTTGCAAGAGATTAGAGAAAGCAGGCAGGAGCCAAATACTACACATCTTTTAGGCTGGTACTTTGGATTTCATTCCAAGCGAATGAAAAGCCACTGGAAAGCTAAAAAAAAAAAAAAAAAAATCACTCTGGTATTGTCTGAAGAGTAGACTATAGAACACAGAAATGGAAGAAAGAAGATCAATGAGGAAGTTATTCTCTCACCGGTGGGAGCTGATGATGGTTGCTCTAGAGAAGTGGTAGTGGATGGAATGAGAAGTCTGAAAGCTCAAGTTAGGGGAAAGAAGAATAAATCCTCCCTTCCTTAACCTCATGAATGAATGCACCAATTACTGAAGCAGGGAAAATTCAGAGAATTGATTTGGGGCATGTTTAGTCTGAGATGCCCATTGAATTTCCCAATTGACTCACCTCGATAGTCTAGACCAAGGTTCAGAGTCAAGTCTGAGACGATGACATAAATTGGAAGTAACTGGCATTGAATGGTATTTTAATCTTGTTTATGTGGATAAAAATCAGGGAAAGGAGAAAGGTCTTGAAGACACAGTCCTAGAATGATCACATGTTTAGGACTTGAAAAGAATGAGAGACCAGCAGAGAAATCTGAAATAAATTGACCAATGAAGCAGAGAGAATGCAGAAAAACTCTTTATATTTGCTGGAAGTAGGTTCTACTTGAACCCAAAGGGGAATTCAATCTCACTATCAGTAGAGAGACAGTGATAGCTCCAGGAAACCAGCTACAAAAATTGATATGCAAAGGGTGTTTGACTGTGTATTCATAAAAGTGGAAGAAGGAGTTTTGAGCACAGCAGTTTGAGAGACCACTGGAGAAAAGGAAGAGAAACCTCACAACACCTATTCTCCATCCTCTGTAGACCGAGAGCCTTTGGGCTCAGAAGTCACGTGGGCTAGTTCCATGGCAGCACAAGTGCTGCCTCAGACCCAGATGACCAAACTGGTAAGAGGATTGTTTTTCCCCCTGTGCAAAAACTAGGCACCTGTAATCTGTCCCTTGGACATAGACATAGGCAGTACACAGAGGTTGCAGCAGTAATGTCCCCATTCCTCTTAATGACTCAGCATTCCTTGTAATACATGCAACTTGGAGTCCAACCCAATACTCAGTTCTTGTCCAATGTATTTTGTTCCCACTAGACAACACAGGCAAACCAGTGCCTCCACAGGCACACTGTCTCTACTACAGGCATTCTGTTCAAATACAACTGACCTGTGTTGAAGAAGGACTCAGTCCATTCTGCCTCTATTTTAGGGAACACAGAAACAGGTGGAGGCAAACCCAGGGCTCTCCCATCCAGGTCCTTGAAGAGATATTTTCTTGGATTTTCACAATCTGATTCAGGGCAGATCACTCTTTCTAAATCTTTCCTATAAAGAAAGAAATCAATTCTCTTATTTCATGATAGGCAGTGTAAAATAAATTCAACAGCATTTTTTTGTTAATAAGGTGTTACATAGATATGAAGTAAAACTCTATAGAAAATATTATTTCCAGTTTTATGATCAAGAAGAAAGACAATTTTATTAACCAATTTATATTAACTGTACATCTGGATGTATAATCTAGATGTAGGTTTCTGATTTTCTAAGAAGCAAGGTACAGTAACATGTACCTAACTCTAATGTCTTCTGAACACAATATGATAATTTCTTTATGGAACTTTGGAGCTTTGTAGAATTTTAGTACTACCACTCTGAATATCAGTTATATTTAAGCTATAAACAAACAAAGTAAAAATAACTAAAAATAACTATTTAACAAGTATCTGTTGAAAACCTTCCACTGGAAAGTTGGAGAATATAGTGGTGATATAGACAGACATGGCCCCTGAACTTTTAGGATTCAGTCAAGTGGGATATTTATAATCAAGTAGTAGGTAGATAGTTACATCAAATTACAGAGATTTCATTTTATGTCCCCTCATCCAGTAGTGTTAGGTATCATTGGTAATACTGCTAAATATTCATTCAATGCCAACCATATATTGTGTGTTAAGATACAAAGAATGGCACACTACTGTCATGTAGTACCATGATTTGAATGATGGTACTCCTCTAATATTCATGCTAAAACTTAATCCCAAAGCAACAGTACTAGAAGGCAGGGCCTTAGGGAGGTGACTACACTACGTCATGAGGTATAGAGGGTAGGGTCCTCATGAATGAGATCTGCATCCTTACAAAAGGTCTGAAATGTGAAAGGAAGGAAGTGCTTGCTCTTAGTCCTTCTGTCCATGTGATAACGCAATATCGCTCCCTCAGAAGAATGGAGCAGACACAGCTCTTGCAGGGCACAAGTCATGCCAATGTCCTGATCTTTCACTGCCCAGACTCAAAACTGTAAGAAGTAAAGTTCTGTTCTTTATAAATTATCTGGTCTGTGGTATTTTGGTAGAGGAACACAAACTGCCTAGGACATGTAGCTTTGCAACTATTTCAACCCATTGGTAAGACATGGCCAAAAGCAAATTTGACAGTAGACTGAAAAATGACAGAACGACATAAATTGTATGGCTAAATGCAGTTAGGGATCTACAATGGTCAGGAATGGGCACCAAAAGGAGGCCAGTGTTAAGCCAAACACAAACTTTCTCATTAGGGTGGTTTCTTTAAATGCTTTTTTTCCAACTAAAGGAGTTTTCCCCAGTGTTGGAGGAAAGTAAACATAATCCATTCTTTCTGCTCCTTATTTTCCCAATTCTCCACCTCCTCCTTCTCCTAATCCTTCCCTTTATTCTTCTTTTTCTTCTTGGTGGTACTGTTTGAACTCAGTACATTATGCTTACTAGGCAGATACTCTGGCACTTGAGACACATTCCCAGCCTTTCTTGCTTTGGTCATTTTTCACATAGGGTCTCACGTTTATGTCCAGGTTGGTCTGGGCTGCACTCCTCTTACTTATGCTTCCCACTTAGCTGGGATGGCAGGCATATGCCACCATGTCCTATTTTTATTGGTTGAGATGGAGATCTCGCAACATTTTGCCTGGGCTTTCCTGAAACTGTGATCTTCCCAGCTTCCACCTCCAGAGTAGCTATTGCACCCAGCCCCAATCCCCTCTTAACACAAAAAGATTTCTTACCTTATTTTTGTTTCCCTAAAAAAAAAAAACCTGTTGCTATATCATATATTCAAGAACAGTAGCTACACCTGGTTGAATGCTGACACATCTGGTCAACGCTTCATTATTCAGTTCAAAGATTCTTGGCAGTAGACATAATCACCTTCCATCTGTTCATCATCCTGAGCAAAGGCTCCCAAGCCTCCTTTATTTGATGGTCCTGGGGTTTGAACTCAGGATCTTATACTTGCTAAGCAGATGCTCCACTGCTTGAGCCACTCTGCCAACCACTTTTTGTGCTGGTTATTTTCATGAAAGGGTCTCGGGAGCTGTTTGACCCAGCTGGCTTTGAATACTCCTAATGTCTCCCTCCTGAGTAGCTGGAATTATGTGAGCCACAAACACCCAGTTCCATGCCTCCTTCTGAAGACCACTGATCCTACACTTTATCAAACAGTGAAGAATTAGAGTTGATCCATTTCCAGTGATTTTGAAATTATCACCCCCAATGTCTCTCTAGTTAAGACAAAGAAATAAAACAATAAAATGAGTCTTTCACCCTGTCACCTTTGTTCCTTTTCTTAGCCAAAGAAATTCAGATGGCTGTGTACAGACTTAATGGGGAGAAAAAGAGCATCTGCCTCTTTGTGAGAGATATTTGAAATATCACATATTTGAATGCAGGAGGTAGAAAGAATTGGGGCCCTTAAATTACTGTACTAGCCTAGTCCACAAGGACTTATTTCTGTTTTTTTGATGATTTGAAATATTAGAGGTTTGAAGAATGGCCAAATCCTTCAGAAATATGGCTTATTTTCAATACAAAAAGAGGTACCTGGGGTATAAGGGAGGAAAGTAGAACTTGTTCTTGTCCTTCACTTTTAGCATCCTGGTCCTCTCTGCTAGTATTGGGTGCATGATTCCAGCACTCTCTGCACTGGGCAGAATGCAGATATCTAAGTCATCCCTATAGCAGCTTTTCACAAAACTAGAAAAGGTGACATCTGAAATTTTAAAAAACATAAGATTATGCCATGTAAACCACCAAAACAAATATAGATTATACAAAAAAAAGTTCTTATAATAATGTATGTGCATGAGTTAGTTTAAGCCATCCAAAGTAACCAGTGGAGTTTACATAAATCAAAAGATTCATCAGAATCCATTCATGAATGGAAAAACAAACCAACTGCCAGATAGTCTAAGTGAATCAGGAGAGAGCAAAAGAATACAAATACAAGCTGATAAGAGGAACTGCAAGAATTATGGTAAAACTTGAGCAACCGACTACTAAGTAACCAGATGAGGCACAATTAGTGCATCTCTCTATCTTCACTGTATAACAGGAAAAATAAAACCTACCTAAGAGAGTTGTCACAAAATCAAGTTCAGTAATTGCTACGGACTCTCTCCTGCAAATATAAAGCATCAACTTTTACAGGGAATCATACTCTGTCATTATGAACACCACTGTGGTCACCAGTGACATCAGGTTGTCAACTCAACAGTAAGCACTAGGAAATTACTCACGTAATTTCAGAACGCTATGGAAAATTCCATGCATTGACTATGAAACTACATTGCTTCCATAAACCTCACCATCTTACCTTGAAGTTTCATGATTCCTGAAATTAAACGGCCATTCCTAACTTTGTGCCATGGCTCCTGAGGCCACCGATTTGGTTCTGAAGTGAATACAGGCCATAGAATACCAGCTCGGCCTCCTTTTGGGTTGGAAGGTGCTCGATCTGCTGATGTCAAGTTGGCTGAGTGAGGCTTCATTCTGTCCTGAATGCAGTCAAAAGAGGAGCTGGTGGCCACAATGACTGAACTCCTAAGCACAATCTGCATGTTTTTGATGGGGTTTAGTGGAGCAGAGGACACACACACGACAGCCAAAAGACCAACAGCATTGTCTACCAGAGTGACATTCTCTATCACCACACTATTCTCTACCTGTACCATGGCACCATAGTCAAAGTTCTTGAAAGACAGGAAGCCAGAGACACCTGTACAGCCATCAGGCCCACTTTCCTTATAGAGATGAAGACCATGAAGGCTTGAATGTGCTACATTGTCAGACCAAAGCACTTTCGAGGAGCACCCATGGCCTCGTATGTGAAAGCCAATTCGCTCGGATCCTGCTGCAACATTGCCATGGAGGATGACATCCATTGCTCTGTTCACTTTGATTCCTGCCACCCAAGTGGCAGACCACGCTGGCTGTGTCATCAGAACTACGAGGTTATTAGTGAGGGAGTAGGCCTCACCCTCCAAATCAATGCCGTGGCCAGCTGTGTCAAACACTATATTGTCCTTTAGAGTGATTCCATGACTGTCCAATGCGTGAATGCCCCCTCCACAGCTTTGGTGCAAACTAGAAGATATTATCCAGGATTCCGCTGACACCTTAGAGAATTCAATGGATGAGTACCGTGGTGACCCAAAATGCTGAATTTCCACATTAAGAAGATGAAGAACACCTACAAATAAAATGCAGGTCATCAGTTGAAATGCACAAAACACAAAACACTCTACTTGAAGGCACCGGACTAGGCAGATTCTTAATCAAAATGTAGTAGTTCATAGTCAGCACCAGCAACAAACAACAAACTATGAGCCACTGGAAATACCACATTAATTCCTAAAAGGTTTTTATGTGTGACCTTAAGAGGGTAATGTAGGATGAGAAAAGATGGAAGGAAAGTAGAAAAAGAGAGGAACCTTGGAATTGGGCACAGCTTGATTGCAGAGTTTGAGCTTTTGTCTGCTGGGTCAAGGACCAGGGTAAGAATGAAGGGAATATGGATTGGTGTCAACTCATCACGAAGTCAAGTGTATCTCCTCTCTGTCTCGTAACACATATGAAAGGCCATAGCCATGAGTTAAAGGTATGACTCAAGTGGTAAAGTGCTTCCCTAGCCTGCATGAGGCCCTGAGTTCAAAGTCAAGTACTGCCCAAAAAAGGCCATAGGCATCTCCACAAAGAAATGGCATGAATGAATAAAATGGACAACTCTATAAGCCACTGCAAACATTTCTTAAGAAAACTTTGGTTCTGCCCAATTGATGTCCAGAAGCATAATATGTTATACATGCTGAAAGCTGTAACATATTTTGAAAATCATTTCAAAGACCAGGTGACACCTTTTCTGTATTTTTATTCTAGCCATGCCATATTCCTGGTTTGTTTTTATAATAAAATTTTCTACATATTTTATATCAGGAAAGGATAGTGAATTATTTAGTATCATTGAGAACTTTATTTGTACTGTCTTAAGTAGATATTGTTACAATAATATAAAATTTAATATATAATGACTATTAATAAATCAGTGTATATGATCTTGGTAAAACAGATAATAACATGATCACAGGTGAATTAATATGAGGTAATAATTAATATGAATTAATAACTAGACTAACTCATATAACTCACATTACATGGTGGGCTCTGTTCTAATTCAGATAATAGATATTTACACATATATATAATTTTCACAAAAAAAATCTTATGACATAGATATAATTTTTGTTTCCCTTTTGCTGATAAGGAAACTGAGGCAGAAAAGGGTTGACTAACAAGCTAGGAATCATTCATATGATGAGCAGCTGTACAATTACCCCCACACAGGATGCTAACAAAGTGGAAGATGACACGGTAAAGAGAGCGATTCTGCACTGGGTTCATGTAATTAGTGAACCTGTACGATTAGTCCTGTCTCTTTTGCCGGCTGGGACACAACTTGGGTCTTTATTTCTTTCTTTTGTTTTGGTTTTTTTGAAGTACTGACAAAGGTCAAATACAAAGTTATTTCTCTCATTAAAAAAAACAGAGGAAGCTATGCATTTGAAGTTTCAGTGTGACTATGTTTTAGAAATTATAAATTCAAGGTAACCCAGCCTAAGCTTTCCTCTTCTCCACTGCCTTTTCACAGATGAGAAACCAGAGCCCTTGAAATCACTGTGAGGACAAAGTGAAAGGCCATGCACCTCCCCTTGTGAGCACACAGCGGGACCCCAGCACAGCTGTTTCTCAGTGGACTCTGATTGAAGAGGCACTGGTAGATATCATAGAAATATTCACAATGATAAAGCGTCTGAAAGCTGTGTATCTGGTAACAAACAATTCTTGCCAATAGCAAGAATTTATGCACTCAGTTCTAGACTCTTGGTCAATGCATTGTATCAGTATTATTTTAATTAGATTTTTAATGTCTTATACTTACATGGCAATAATTCATAGTTTTGAATTCTTCAAGATCTTTTAACTTACATGTCTATTAACCAATGACTGAAGATTAATCAATAGTAAATACCTAAAACATCTGGAGCATTAAATGAAATATTAAGAAGTGCTTTTATTCACTACTTTACTACCTTTTCTTCTGAAATCATAATTCTGAAAAAGTATCTATCTAGATGTTACTGTTCAGAAGGAGAGTCAATAAAAAGAGGGGACTGTTCTGGCCTGCTTCTCATCCCTAGTCACTCAATACCCACATGTGGCATCTCTGACCTACACCTGATTGATCCCACCCCATCTAAACCCTGGTATATGCTATTTAGAAAATCAAAGGCTCTCAATGAAGCATGAAAACCTGGATTGTATTCTGGAACAGAAAAGGACAGTGGAAAAACTGGTGAAATATGAAAAATGTCAAGTCTTTAGATAATGTTAACAAATCAATTTTTCTTTCTTTTCTTTCTGGTGACACTGAGGTTTGAACTCAGAGTTTCATGCTTGCTAGACAGGTACTCTATCATTTGATCCACTTAACCAACTCTGTTTTGTGTTCAGTATTTTTGAGACAGGATCTCATGAACTGTTTGCTTGTGGCTGGCTTCGAAAGGCAATCGTCCTAATCTCTGCCTTCCAAGTAGCAAGGATTACAGATGTGAGCACCAGCACCAGGCTACAATGTTGATCCCTTAGTTTTCACAAATGTACCAGTGTTATGGCAGCTATTAATAATAGGAGAAATTGTGTGAAATGCACATAGGACTCTTCACACTATCTTTGTAACTTTTCTATAAATCCAAATTATTACAAAAGGAAATGTTTACTTAGCACAGTTTTCAGATTAAGGCTTGAATCTGCCATTTACTAATTAATTGACTTTTCTTTCTCTTTATTCATTTTATTTATTTGCATTTATTGAGTACTAAAACATGCATGTTACCATGCTGGAAAACAGATGGAAGACCCAACCTCACCCTCAAGGAGTTCACAGCTCATGGTGTTATACAAATAAAAAGGAAATTATAGTACAGACTCTCTGTTTCCTACAATAGGAAGACAAAATGTCTCTCACACAGAGATACTAGGATTAAATAAGAAAATTTCTATAGGGGGAAAACCAGCATAGTTCTTGATGGATAAAGAGCATTTAATACAGTTTTTCTTTCTCTTCTCCTGGGAGTATTTTTTTTTGACAGTTCTGGGGTTTGAACTCAGGACTTATGTATTTGCTAGGCAGGTGCTCTATCACTTGAGCCATGCCTCCAGCCTTTTTTATCATGGTAATTTTGGTTATAAGATCTCACTCTTTGCTGGTGGAGTGGTTGAAGTGGTAGAACACATGCCTAGTATATGTGAGGCCCTGAGTTCAAGCCCCAGTACTGCCAAAAATATGGGTCTTGCTTTTTGCCTAGGCTGGCCAGGACCATGATCTTTTTTATTTTATACCCCAATTCTTGTGAATTTTTCCTAGGTAGCCTTGAACCAAGATCCTCCCAATCTCAGCCTCCCAGTAGTTAAGATTATAGGCATTAGCCACTGATACCCAGACCTGGGGGTGAGTTTATTTGTTTTTTTATTGTTGTGCTGGGTGGGGGGTACTTTGTAGCATTTACAAAGGTTCTTACAATGTATTCAATATATCATACTTGAATTCACCCCTTCTGATGCTCTCTTTCATCCCCTCCCCTGATTCTGGGGGTGATTTTAAAAGCTGTAGTCAGGAAGTTCACAGAGGTTTAGGATCAGGTCAGTTTGCTGCTGCACATTAAGGATTGGCTTTCTTTGGGGCTCTGGTGATCCTGCTCCAGTTTGACCCACAGCTTCAGTTAACTGAAACCCTGTATGGCTTTCCCTTTCTGATTCTCCATATTCATCAATTGCAGGTCGATGTCATTTCTACTAGAACAGAACTCAGTTTTTGTCTCAGTCGTCTATAGCAGGATTTTTCCACCTCAACATTGCTGCCATTTTGAGCCAGATTTTTTTTTCTTATGACTGGAATCTTCCTCATTTTGGTATCTACTCAGTCAATACCAGAAACCCCACCCCCCAAATCATAACACAATATGTCCCCAGATATTGTCAGTTCAGTTGTCCCATAAAAGGCAAAATTACCTCTGGAAAGAACTTGCAGTACTAAAGCTTACGGAAAAAGAGAGTGAGCTTGGTCTGTGGGCCATGGATCCTGAACTTATAATTTAACATACAAACATTGCCCTTAACCACACTGGTGAACAAGAGATGCAACCAAAATGTCCCATGCTGAATATATTTGGGAAGTGGTTAAGTCCTTTATTTCAGGCCTTCTTTCAGCCTTTATTATACTCACGTACAAAGTGACTTTCAAAGATGGAGCAATAGTCATAGGATTTCCCAAACTATTTGAACAGGAAGCAACTTTGACATACTATTTACAGAATACAAGTTTAAGAAGCAGGGACCTAAACAATTTGATAACATTCCAAAAGGGCTAACACATGAATAAAAAGAGAAAGATTGACTTCAAGCAGTCTAGAATGTGGAAATCATTTTTATTTAAATTCAAGCCATTAATTTATAGCATGAGCTGATATCTGCCATCAGATATAGCATGCTACCGGGAAAGAGTAATAGAAATTCAGGAAAGAGATAAAATTCAAATGGTCTTTAAATCATCTATAATTTCAAAGCAGAGGAAATTTCACATCTGCTGAAGATGTTTTCTTTGAGGTAAAAATGTGCATACGGGCTGATCTCCAGTGTATTATTTTAACATCTCACTTGATAATTGAATACAGATTAGAACTGAAATTCATAGCTTTGTGGAACACAAAGGAACCATCTAATTTAAACATTTTGTATCCCACAGCTGAATTTTCTGACTGCCCCAGAAGAACAAGGCCAAACTGATAACGCTTAGACACTTAAAATTTCATTTACCTGAAAATTCTTCTCTGTTGGACTTCCTGAAGGACCCCACAAGTAGTCTTCCCTTACACGATGTGTCAGGTTGAATTCGTATATTTCGGGTCAACAGTCCAACCTCAGCAGCCAAACGAATGTGTCGACCATCTTCTATGACGTGGGCACCTCCTGGGGCAACAGGTGTTGGGGGTGGGGTAGGAATATCCTTTGAAAACCTATTTTGGAAATCGCTAGCTGGGGACCAGTGCATCTCACAAATGAAAATACTCCTTTCCCCTTGGAAGTCCTACCAACATTAAGGTCTGGTTTTCCTCAGGCATTCTCCACAAATGTCAGCTGAGAAATGAAAAACTTGTTCACTTGTCTCTCTTTGGGATCAAAGTGAGTGTTAGAACAAGAATTGATTTCCTCTCAATAACTGTGGGTAGTGGGACAGGCCTCTGGTACAGGGAAGTCAGAGTGACCTGTCCAATTAGTGGGGGTCCCCAACCTCCTTCCTTGAACACATCAATGTGAGACTGTGGTGTCTGACTGTACATTGTTCACAGACCTCCTTCATGACAGTAAGGAATCCCAGATCAACTGAGGCAGTGACAGAGAATAAACATCAGTGTATTAGAGGAAAAGGAAAAGGAAGAAGCTGTACCAAGCAGCAGCAGCAGCACCCTCTCATGGTGAATCTCAAGCTGTCTGCTGTCTAGAGGAACTTCCACAACTAGAGTAGAGGTACAGTGCTAGTTTGTTTCATGGTTTCCATGTTTGATTCACTATCACTATGGCTCTCACTAGCAAGGATTGCTGGAGATTTCTCTTTTCTCTGCCACTTTTAATAAGGAAAACCAAGTTGGATATAGTGACACCTGCATGCATTCCCAGCCACTTGAGAGGCTGAGGCTGGAGCTCAGGAATTCAAGACCAGCCTGGGCAACATAGCAAGATACTGTCAAAAGAATAGAAAACAAATGAAATCACCCTTGCAACTATAATTTAGAAATAGCTTAAGAGAGTCCTGGTAAAAATGTGCATTTCCTGCTCACATATCAGAATCAAAAATATTCTCTTATCCCTTATCTGCAAGTTTCATTACTAATTAGTTATATGTCTTGAATTGGATTTATTTACCAGACCAAGCCAGGAAGATCATGGTAATTTATTATTTTTGCATGGCACATTTGTACAATATGTGGCATATCAAACTATTCAGTACCTGTTTTCTCTTTTTCCTTTTTCTTTCTTTTTAAAAAAAGTCATAGTAGTACTAGTAGTCAAGCTATAAAATGTATTTGGTGTCAAGAAGAATACATTCCCAAGTATGGCAAACAAAGTCATTATTTACAATAACTGCCATATTCTAAGAGATTATGGGATTTAATGTGCCAGGAAATGAACTAGAAACACAGTGCCCATGAGTTTTATTCTAAGTCATGAAATTACTCAGCCACCTTAAATAAAATTCTCAATCCTTCTCCTCTTAGGCTTGCCATTATAAATTTTTTTTAAAAAAAACCCTTTCCATCTAAGTATTCCTTAAAAAATTAAGTAATAAAACTAAAAAAGATAAAATCTTCTAGGATAAGTCTAGGGCAGCAGTAAAGTATTATTCTTCCTTTCTGAATGGTAAAACCTCCAGGCAGGTTGCCAAACACAGCCATCCTGGTGCATTAATTTCCCTTAAGCAACAAACCATAGTCTTACCAATATGCCGGTGTTTGAGACGTTCATGAACCCTAATGTGGTGACCCTTGACGTCTTTCACAGTGAGGACCTCTGCTTCATGAGGCTCATAAGAAGAGGAGCTAAGGATGATTTTGTCATGGGGCTGCCAATCCACTGCATCTTCTACTATAATTCTGTAGCAGCATAAAAATCATATCTCACACATTGCCAGAACAACACAGATTATCAACTAACTCCAGAGAGAGAGAGAGAGAGAGAAAGGAAACCCGTAATAACCAATAAGTGCCAACACAGAAACTGAAAAACACAAGACACCAAGAAAAGGCATTTGTAAAAAGTTTAATGCTAATAGAACCCATTTTCTGGCTTGCAGATATTTACATTACAGAGATAGCAAAGATATTCCATAGCCATAAAGTACAAAGAAAAAGAATAAGAAGCAATGAAAGTCCCAGAGTTCAGTGAGTGCATCTTTGCCTAGTCTCATATAATAGTGATCTTCCTTCTTGATTGGGAAGCAGTTTGAATAATCAAGATTTTCCTGAAGATATCTTTCCTCAAGAGTTTTCTAAACATCTATATTGTCATTTTTGGACAATTTATCACTGCACATATCACTAATGTGTTCATGGTCAGACAGATACAAATGTGAATCATGAAGGTGCCAATTACAAGCTGTGTGACCTTGAGAAGCCATTTAACTTTTCTCAGCTTCATATGCTCATCTGAAAAGTAGTATATTTATCCCTTCCCTACAATATTCTGCTCGTATTGTGCAGCCTACAGGGTCCATATTCCTTGAGTGTGCTACATTGAAACCATTGAGATTTGCTCACATTATGAAACAATGAGGGCTTTGTTCACTTTTTTAAAATCCCACATTTAGTAAATTTTCTGTTCGGTCTGCCACTGCCGCCTAGCTTTTCCCAGTGAATATAACTGCTCTCTTCTCCATTCACAGTCATTGTTCACTCCAACAGCATAAGCTTAATTCCCTGCCTCCAGCGAACACCCAAATCTTAGCAAGTTTTGACAACGGATTCTGTTCTACCCATAAATGTTCATCCAGGCAACATGGGACATATGCAACCAGACAATTATGTGACCTCCACTGGCACAGCCACTGATATGGTCCAGACACTGTAGTAGGTCATAGAGACACAATTGTAAGTAAAACATAAACCATTTGTATTGAAAAATGATAAATTAGACTTTTCCTGGTAGACAGTTTGCAAGAATCTACTCTCTGGATAGAGATCACTGGGAAGTCAATGGTATGAGCATGTGATGAACTAAAAGACTGAAATTAATTCAAACCTGCAAACCTAACTTACAAAGAGAAAGAAAGCAAAGAGATTACTATAAATTGCTGTACTTTTGAGAAAAGAATTTCGATTTTTAGCTCAGTTCCTGTTTTGCTATAACTTCCTAGGAAACTCATAGTTATAGAGTATTAGAACAAATGCTATCTTTTAAAGGCAAAGAAATTATGACACAAAGAGATTAAACAGCAAATTTAAGATTAGATAACTGAATGCAACCAGAGATTAAATTGGAACAAAGGAAGACCCCTGAGCAAATCCAGAGTTCTTTCTAGTAAATAGCATCACCTTCCTGATTCTTAGTTCTTCATCTGCTAAGTGGTTAAAGATCACGACCCCCACATTTCATAATGATATCACAGTAATTCACAAAAACATAAGAAATCTATGAGTCACACAATAGAATACTATGCAGCCATTTTAAATGTACATTGTAGGGGAGAGCTAAATTACAAAGCTTTGTGCATGACCTATTGAATCTTAAAAACAGGATATAAAATAATACACCTCACATTTTTAAATAAAAATAATGCATGCACAGAAAATTGAAGACAGGAAGAATCATGTTAAAATATTACCTCATCTGTGGACAATGAGTTCATTACTGATTTTTCATATGTCTATTTTTCCAATTTAGCAGCCAATACATTATAGTAAGAAAAATATTAAGCAAAACGAGGGATGGGGATTTAGATCAGTGGTAGAGAAATAAGGGAGATAGGAAAAGAAGAGGGCAGGGAGGGACCAAAGGAGAGAAGAAAGGAGGAGAGACAAAGGGAAAAAAAATAGTAAAACTAGGAGCCACTAAAGTCAATGAGCATAGCATTAATATTTATACTAGTTCAGGGAAAATATAATGCTTACTAGTAAAAAAAAATACAGTAGTTAGTTACAAAGCAGAAAAAATATGCAAATTTGACATAAGAGTTTTTTCCACTATGTATAAAGCATTTATATGTAAACACCTACAGCTTAAATGAATTTTTAAACTAAACTTTGGGTGAGCTTAATGATAACAACTACACTTAATCACAGGCTCAGAACGTACAGATCCCAAAATGTTTTCCTACAAGAGTTGGAGAAGCCATAGACTTCTGACTCTACTAATATTGGGTCTCCGTTTTCTAACTCAGTTTTAAAACTTTCTGTCAGCACCACTGAACTATAAAGAAGATTCTCAGACTTCACTGCTGGGCAATGAAGAAACTGAATTCTGTAATAATGCTAAAATGGTGACAACAACAATAATAGCCTTTATTGACCTCCTTTCTCCTTCCTCCCAGGAAAACCATCACACTTCTTCTGAGACTGTTCCTTTTTCTACCATACTTCTTAAATAGTTCCAGTGAGAGCTGTACACTGTAGTACCATGCATCCTTCACTTTTTAAAGGAAAGGTATATTTTGTCAAAATCCATCCTTTGGACTATGAATGAAAAAGCAGGGATGATAATGTGCTCTGTGGTGGTGAGGTTTGGAAAAGCCCAATAGCTCTGAGCTCACATGAAGCCTTTAAGAAGAGGAAACCTATTCCTCAGTAGAAAAACTGAGATTGCAGTAAAGTGGGGGTAGGAGTGGAGGACCTGGATTGGCTTTAATCCCAAATGGTTTAAGAAGGGTTAATTTTACTTTTATCTTCAACTAAAAGAACCTGATTACCACACTAGCTACCCTGTCTTGGGGTTTACTTTGTCCAAGGAACTGGGTTAAGAATTTCACATATATTAATTCACTTAATCAGTATTATGTCAGCTACATATTGTTATCCTCATGAATAATAAAGTATGGCTATGGAAGATAATTTACCCAAAGTTAAACATTTAGAGAATTACAATTAGAATTTTTTTTAGTTCACCTGACCTCAAAGTTCAAGTTCTTTTTATTGTAGAATTATTTCCTACCTACTTTCCAAACACCTATGCCTTTCCTCAGCATGGAGACAGTAGTCTATCTGAAATCAGGACACAGTAGTTTGTTTGTTTGTTTGTTTGTTTAAATAGTACTGGGGTTTGAGTTTAGGTATGCTTGCTAGGCAGGGGCTCTCCCACCACGGAACCATGCCTCCAGCCCTTTTTGCTTTAGTTATTTTTTATATGGGGTCTCATGTTTTTGCTCAGGCAAACCTCAGACAGCAATACTCCTACCCCATGCCTCCCATATATGGGCAAGCATCACTATCCCCCTTTTGTTCTTCAAGATATGCTCTCACTAACTTTTTACCTATGCTGACTTCGACCACGGTCTACCTATCTCTGCCTCCTAAGTAGCTGAGATTACATGTGTGAACCACCACACTTAACTGACACCATAGTTTATTGGACCATACAAATTGTCTTCTTTGGAAGGTTATACATGCAGTCCTGAACTGCCAATAAGTTCTGACTCTATATTCTAATACTTGAATTAAGTTATTATAATAATGAAGTTTTAGTAACAAACAAAATAAACTGTAGTTGTTTTTGAAATTCAATTCAAGAAAATAAATTCTTATTTATTAGATCATGTGCTATTGAACCAAGAATCTCAATGAGTTCTGAGTTCCAGAAAAGACATATCAATACAACATGTCAGGCATCTGTTAGATATCTTCACTATTAGATGCAAAGGAATATACCAAACCAACAAAAATGGATTTCCTTCTACTGTAGAAGCCACATAGAGGAACAGGGCATATATACTTCAAACATCTTACTATCTTGCCTTAGGAAGTATATTGTTATGAAAATTATAAATAATAAAATCATACATTGGGGACATTGAGAGTCCTTTGAAGGATGTGTTGGAATCATTATAGATGAGTAGGATAACATTAAAGATAAGGAGAATGAGCAAAGGTACAGAATCTGATACCTTCATTTTATTTATCAAGTATTCAGGGAGCCAGTACTGAAGTTGTTATGGAAATCCATGTGTATCATGCTTAAGGGAGAATGTAGCAGAGAAGAGAAGACAAGAGATATTCCAAACACAGCGTACCTAAAGAGTGCAGCACTAATTTGATATAGGAGCAAATTGATGCTGATGTTCAAGTTAAAGGGCTATGTCCTGTAGAAAAGGGAGAAGTAACAAATAATCTGGTCTGTTCTTCAGTTCAGAGTCATTTCCTTGTAAATAACAGGTGACATTTATACATCACTTGAGCAACTTCACACATGTTAGAATTACTATTGTAAAATAGATGCAAGATAGCAAGTGATGGCGGGGATACGAAGGAAAAGGAAAAGTGTACACTGATGGTGGGATTGTAAATTAGAGCAACCATTATGGAAAATAATATAAGAATTCTGGAAAATTAAAAATAGAACATGGAGGGGAGAAGGGTGGGTGGTAGAGGGGAGAGGTGACTCAAACAATGTATACACATATGAATAAATGTAAAAACATAAAAAAAGAACTGCAATAGAAATCCAAGTACTGACTATATACCCAGAGGAAATGAAATGAGTATGTGACAGAGACATCTGCCCTCCCATGTTCAACTGTGCCCTCTTCACAACAGTCAAGAAATGGACACAACCCAAAGGTCTGTCATCTGATGAATGGAGAAAGAAAATGTGTTATACATGCACAATGGAATACTATTCAGCCTTTGTTTTAAGAAAGAAAACACTCATTTGCAAAAACATGTGTTACCCTGAATGGTATTTTGTTGAGTGAAATAAGCCAAGCACAGCAACACAGAGTCATCTGATCTCACCTACATGTTGAACCTAAAATGTTGATCTCAAAAAACAGAGCATAAAACAGTGATTGCCGGGGGCTGGTGACTGGAGAACTGAGGTCAAAGGGATACATAATTTTCAGTTACACAAGAAGAAAACGTTCAAGAGTTCTGTTGTGTTTCATGATGGT